ATTTGTATGAATAGTTACTTACAGAGAGACAGGTGATTTCGATCCAGTTTGAAAAGTCGAAATGAATTTCCCTACTTTCACTGTGGCGGTACATGCAAAACAAGAAAATTAGCCAAACTATAAGAAGAAGAACATTTGATGAAAGTGTGTTGATAAATACACAACATAAAAAATATTAGCACCTCCGTCAGCAGTATGTTGTGTATTTGTCAACTCACTTTTATCATTTCATATTCTACTTTCCTTGAGTTCGGCTATGTAGAAAAGTTTTCGATTTAAGTTTTTTAAACTATTATTCATCTCTTCCTCGATTCAACAGACACATTTTTTTTTATTCATTCATTCACGGGATGAACCCCAATACAGTATAAATTTAACAAATATAAATAACACAGTCAAGTGAACCAGACACATATTATATAAGTACATAAAACGTATATCTAACAATGACTATAATATATAAATACATAGTTATAACACATGAACACATGAAATAGATGAGACTAGAAACTCTATGGAAACTAACACTATATAAATTCGATAACTAATCAAATGCCACCCTCTTCTACTTACAAGCTATTCAAAGATTTTTTAAACATATCGTAAGACAATCCAAATATATTGATGTTCTTTTCGTTCAATAACTTCAGAGTTCTTTCCAAGGGTGCATGCTTGCCATAATTTGTAAACTGGAATGGTAAGTGAAATAACAATTTCACCGTGTAGAAGAATATACAGGAATCAACAAGAATTGTACGAATTGAAATAATCACTTTCTCTATGTATCTATCTTCTATGTATTTCTCACAACATCAATCAAACTCTGTTATTCCCATCAATTGAAAAATAAGGAAGATATTGAGAAGGGTATCCTTGAAAAGCTCTTCGATAGGCCTTTGCAGTGGTATAGAAATATATGGGGTGTTCTATTTTGAAATCATACTAACACCTTTTCCTGCTCCTTGTTTATTTATCTTCCCAGATAGTGTTAACGTTTCTTTATATTCAAAAATTGAAGGAACCCTGTTTGGTTGTTTTTTTATATTTCTTCTACTGTTAAAATGGAATGATCTACAGGAGGGTGTTACTTTAAAACGTGTCACTTGGTACAAACAACTCATGTTCTCTCAAATTGAGTCAAACCATGGAAATTTAGAGTAAACTAAATATACAGTGTAATCTTTGGTAGAAGTCCATATTGCTCAAAGTGGAGTGAAATATTTCACAGGAAGGAAGGAATGCTCGAAGTCATCTCCACAAATTTTGATGATATTCTGACTAAATCATGAGGGACATGTTTCGGTCTTATAAAAGACCATCTTCAGCCTAATTGGAAGGTCTACAATACAAAAACAACTGATTTCGAAGTGAAAGAATTACCTATTCTATGCTAGACTTACTTGGAGTTGAAAAAGTTATTTTATTATAATGCTACTATTCCTTGAACTGTCAATGCTCATAGTCAAGAGTGCCAAGGTTCTGAAAAACCGGGTTCTCAATAAATAAACTGTTTGACAATACTCTTCATATACCATTTTGGTATATGAAATGTTCTTTAATAAAAAATAGTATACGCTCTCAGGGCACGGGGCCCTTCATTTATTGAGAACCCGTTTTTTCAGAACATTGGAACTCTGGGACTATGGGCATTGACAGTTCAAGGAATAGTAACATTATAATAAAATAATGTTTTCAACTCCAAGTAAGTCTAGCATGAAATAGGTAATTCTTACACTTCAATATCAGTTGTTTTTGTATTGTAGACCTTCCAATTAGGCTGAAGATGGTCTGTCAAAAGACCGAAACATGTCCCTCATGATTTAGTGATAATATCATTAAAATTTGTGGAGATGACTTCGAGCATTCCTTCCTTCCTGTAAAATATACAGTGTGTTTCACGAACTTCTAATGGAAACACCCTTGTATCTCACGTATTCGTTGGGTGAGGATCCTGAAATTTGCTGGAACAAGAGTTATATCAGAAATGCACTCTATGACTAAGTTGGGTCATCTTCAGTGATATACATTGCTCACCAACAGCCATTGAACCACCCCAATTTCTGGAAAATGATATTAGTAGTCGAAATCGGTTGAAAATCACTTCGGATTCAGAATCAGGACGCCCTATTCACTAGCTAACAGATTTTTCCTGGAAAATTTCTAATTCTGAAAGCTTCATTTTTGTCTCACTCCTCATGGGAGCACCCCCGTTTCTCACGTAATCGTTGAGTAAGGATTCTGAAATTTGCTGGAGCGAGAGATATACCAAAAATGAACTCTATGACCTAGTGATGTCATCTTCAAAATGATGTGAAATTAGTTCAAAATTCCTTCGGATTCGGAATGAGGATGCCCAATTCACCCACTATTCTTATTTTTCCTGAAAAACAAGCAGTTCGTAGAATTTCATATTTGCCCCGCTTTTCATGAAAACACCCCCGTATCTTACGTAATTATCGAGTTCAGAGAGATTGCTATCAACTTGGTCATAGAGTACATAATTTGGTATATCCCTGACTTCAGCAAATTTCAGGATCTTAACCTACATCTCACGTAAGATACAAGGGTGTTTTCATGAGACAAAACTGAATTTTTCAGAATTGAAAGTTGTTCAGGAAAAATATGAATAGTTAATGAATTGAGCGTTCTGATTCCGAATCCAAAGTGACCTATTTTGACTCCTGATATCATTTTCCGTATGGTTTCATGGCTGTTGAAGAGCAGTGTGAATCACTGAAGATGCCCCCACTTGGTCATAGAGTGCATTTTTGGTATAAGTCTCGATCCAGCAAATTTCAGGATCCTCACCCAACGATAACTTGAGATACAGGGGTGTTTCTATCAGAAGTGAGACACACTGTATAGGGTGTCTCAAATTCAAGTTTCTATGAACATCCGCAAACGCTTTGTTACCGATCTACAGAGCGTTAAAATTTCAAGATTTTCATCTTTTTTCCTTTATAGCTCCTTGATAATTAGAGATATTCAGATTGAGTTTGAAACACAGGTCACGTTTTAGAGTTCACATTGTACAGTATATCAAAAGTGATTGTGAGAATCTACAGAGATTTGATTGTTGAGGGATTTTCTTGAATCCTGTTATGTTTTTGATTTGCAGCTTCTTCTTGGGGTTTGGATTCGGTTTCATAAAGATTTGCAAGGAATTAGTAGAAAAACGTTTCGCCCATGGTCATGGGCTTTGGCAATTTATTAATATTCAGTTAATAATTCCACAATGTAAACCATTCTCAATGGAAACCATTATTTACAGATAAACTAAATATTAATAAATTGACAAAGATCGCATGACCATGGGCGAAACGTTTTACTACTAATTCCTTGAAATTGTTTATGAAACCGAATCCAAACCCCAAGAAGAAGCTGCAAATCAAAAATCTACAGAGAGATATTTTTACAGGGGGCAAGCCCTTTTTCGCTTCATAAACTTTCTTGCGGTGCGCCACTGGTAAATATTGAAACTCCAAATGTGCTCATTGGTCCCTTTTTAAACTTTTTTGTGTCTTGTAATCTTGAGGCATTTACGACCATTATCAGGAAAACAAGCATATTTTATTGTAATTCGCTACAGATTTGATCAATATTTTTAATAACAGGAAGGAACCTATTATCGCAATTGAATCATAAAATGCTACACATTCAGTATGTGATCTCGATAATATGTTTCCAAACATAACCCGAAGAATAAAAAACCAAACAAACCTTGACTTTTTATGTGTTGGAAGACAAATAATCTTAAAACTTTAAACGATCTGTACATCAACATAGGTGATCCATACTTACAGTGGAGGTGATATAAATCAGGAGGGGTGAAAGAACTTACAGTCACAACTCCACCACATAAAAATTTTCAATAATGACCAACGGTCATGGACATAAAAAAGGACATGTTTCGAAGGATTAATCCTTCATCATCAGCAAATGTGTTGAAAAGAAAATCTGTAAGAAGAAACAATGCTTATGTTAGTTATAAGTGTTGATTATGGAATCTAAATGTACCTACCATTATTGGTGGAAAAAGTTCATATAATACAAAACATGGGAAAAAAATATTGTTTATAAACCGCGCATAGTGCGGGTGAGTTGATGTTAGGAAACCATATTTTAAGCTCAATAATAAGAGCTTGGATAATTAAAATTTTGACAAAGTTCACTTATCAAAATGAACCAACATGTGGAACTGGATTTGTTGAATTAGGTAAACTTATCACAAATGACAAATGATGACAATGACGCTGAGGACAAAACACAACATTAAAATAACAACCGTCAAGTCAAAACTAAGGAATGTTTATTGATTCGAAGTGACATAGAACACAGAAACCAGAATTGTAGTTAAAATAACAGGAAGTTGAATAATTTGAAGCTATCGAATTGAGTTTGTTCATTGAGGCAGTTGAGGTTAGAATTTTTGACCGCTTCATTAATTTCCAGAGTTTCAAGGAGGTAAGTTTTTTTTCCCTTGTCACAAATATGTAAAATTTCTATGTTAGATTTGGGAACAAAAGAGTGTTTGTCATTGATAATATGGTTGGGAAAAACAGAATTGGATTCAAAAAAATCTCTTTCAAAATTATTTTCTATGATACGATCGTGTTCTGATACTCTGGTTTTGAACTTGCGACCTGTTTGACCAATGAAGCACACTTTACAATCATCATTCTTACAATTCAATTTATAAACACCAGATTTTTCTAGAATATCAATCTTGTCTTTTGTGTTGACTAGTGTACTCCCTAGAGTATTGGCGGTTTCGAAGGAAAAATTTGATTTTTTTTATGTCCATGACTGTTGGTCATTATTGAAAATTTTTATGTGGTGGAGTTGTGACTGTAAGTTCTTCCACCCCTCCTGATCTGTACATCAGTGACGAAGCGTTTGCGGACACATACTTATAAGAAAAAAATCTCATTATGATCTGGAAAATAGTTCATTGAAATCTTGATATTGAGTTTTGAAACACCTCTTATACTTCTTTATAGGTGATTTCAAGATTGAGTCAGTCGTATAACGACACCTACACATTCGATAACGTCGTCATCAGTGGCACGCATACTCACAGCACACCAGGAGGATTCATGGAAGACGTGATGTACGATGTCCCTGCCCTTGGTTTCGTGAAGGAAACATTCGATGCATTGGTCGACGGAATCGTGAGGGTAAGTTGTTAACAATAGTGACAAATAAATCCTTCATACATTTTTGCACCACTAGCTATTGAACTTAACATTATTCTAACATTGATAATATCTGTAAGAGGTTCCAATGAATGAATTCCAGAGAGTTTTATAACAAAAATGTGCTGAAACCATAATAAATGTCTTCTGTTTTCTTGGATTCAATTTTGTTGATGGATGTTCTGATATCATCTGTTTCAAAAAAATTGTACTAACCGGGCTGTGGTTTTTGTCTAGTAAATCTTAGTCATCTTTGTCAGATCGACAAGGGTGTTTAGTAAGAGACTCTCAATCATTTGAGCAGAAATCATTGAGTTCGTTTGCATATACATTTTTGAGGGCAACTTTCTGCTTTAGCTTCCTACCTGTTTCTGTGTTGATGATATCCCATGTGGTTTTATTGTAGTTGTTTGTATTCAATAACAGTTTTTGTAATGATTCTTTTCCGTATCCTCCAAGAGAAGGTAATACTGTTTTTCACATTCATTGTATATTTATTATTTCGGTCTGTTCAATTTTCTATATAGAAATTTCGAAGGAATTCTACCCTATTTTTTGCTTCGATTGTTTTCGGTGTCATGATATGATATTTTTTCTGTTCGCCAGTATTCTTTTTTTTTGTCATTATAAACAATATGAAAACATATTTCATATCAATACGTGAATATTTCACTAAATAAATTATATTTCTGTTCTGCAGATTGGGCATTGATTACTCCATCCCATGATTCCTATGATGAATGGTAACAAAAGGTGTTTCAGCTGTTATTTCTGACTCTTCTATATGTTAAGTTACTTGTTACCTTTTCATTTCAATCAGAAAGTTTCCCAATATTCGCTATTTCTCCATTATGATCTGTTTGAAAAATTGGTATTATTCCAGAGGATTGTATTTCTTAATTTGTGAATATATTATTTCCCTTATTGTGAGTTATTCCATTGGCACGGATCTCATACCCCTAGTGTCTGAGTAATAGAGATATTCTTTACTCCATCCTATGGGGAGCACTTCGAATTCTTGTCTCTGAACATTGACCAAATTCCACGAAATCATCCAGCAGCCGAAATCATCATTATGCATGAACACGGCTTTCGCTCGTATACTCCAACAAAACGAAAGAAGCTGGACGGTAAACCGGAGCTTTCGCCATCACTCAAGGCTCAAAGCACCTTATGAATGAACCCACACGAATTCCAGATATCAATAACCATTCAGCCAACACATCGACTTGTTCGTCACTAAAGATTCAGCACCGTACAACATAAATGAACTAGCTCCACTTGGCAATTATGATCACACCCAAACCTCCACAACCTGTCCATTTTCCATTTCATCAACTGCTCCGGCACCCCCACGACTTATATGGCATTACAATTCAGGAGACTGAAACGGTCTTCGCATGTTTTTCACCAAGTTTACTTAGCACAGAGTATTTTTTAACTCTGAGGCTCCTTCACAGTATGCTGCGGAAATATCCAAGATCATCACGCTTGTAATGGACTCATACATACCTTATTCTTCGGAAAGATCATCACCTTCGAAACCCTGGTTCAACAAAAACTGTTCTGGAGCTGGTGCCTTGAAACAAACAGCCCATCACCGCTGGCGCAAAAACCTCAACCTCGCGATTAGAGCAGAATACGCTGAAAGCCAGGAATAAATGAAACCAAAGAATACATGCATCAGAGGAAACATGCAATGCCAAAATAAGATCTCAACTCATAGATTGTCTCAATGGATCGCGTTCTTTTCGTTCCCTTGCTGAAGTAGTCGAGAGAAATCTCACAAATAGTCTATTCCCACCACTTTCCAAAGCCGATGGCACTTCAACAACAACATCGCAGGAGAAAACAAATATACTTGCAGAGCTGTTTGCAGCAAACTCTACTCTAGATTAATTCAAGAGGAGAAGTGCCTCCAGATATTCTACCTGTTGGAAGTGGAATGACCGAAATTGTCTTCCGTCAAGGCACTATCAGACTCATTTTGCTAGGTCCAACAACTACAGGCCTTGTGCCATGTCATGAGTGATCTACAAAGTGATGGAGAAAGTCATCAACATTGAGCTCATCAAATATATCGAAAGCCCAGGAATCATCAATGATAGACAATATGGTTATCGTCACCGAAGATCAACTGGAGATCTACTTGCCTAGGTCATCCGTATATGTCATGCTTCATCAAAAAAACATGGGGAATCTCTAGCTGTGGCGTTAGACATATCGATAGCATTCGACCGTGTTTGTCACCAAGGAATCCTTCACAAAACTACCATTATACGGCTAAACCACCTCAGCTATGCCACGTGGTGGTGGACGGTGCATCATCTGATGCCATTGTCATCTATTTCAGCGTTCCACAAGGTATGTTTTGGCACCAACATTGTTCCTACTAACTTCATGTCAATGATCTGTTGGGAGCAACCACTTGTCTTATCAATAGTTTTGAAGATGATAGTAATCTTCATCTGCGTTCTCTTCCAGAATTCCCATTTCTTTCCAGGAATCTAAGAACTCTTGGCGAGAGCAGGCCTCTGCTATGAATAAGGATCTTGCTGGAATAACATCACTGGGAACCAACAACCTACTTGAATTCAACGCTATCAGAACCCAAGCCTGATTTCTCTCTAGGAATGCGAATGCCTGATGTAACAATGTCTGGTACCACCATTCCCACCAAGTCAACCATATCGCTATGCTCGGTTTTTATCAGCATTACTTTTTCATGGGGTAATCATGTCAGATCCATCGCCAAAGCAGCTTCCAAAAAACTCTGATTTTCATTTCGTGCGAAAAGCTACTTCACACCTTAACAGCTTCCCATGATTTACAAAGCACAAATACGACCTGTTCTGGAATACTGTTCTCACATATGAGGTTCACTACCCAAACATACTCTGATGCTCTGAGTTCCCATCCAGAGACGAGTCCTTCGGCTAGAGGGTGATGCCACACACTGAAACTTTGACATCACTGGAACACCGTAGGAGAAATTTCGGCGACTCTTCACTTTTCTATAGATTGTTCCACAGGAATGTTCTTCAGAAATCATTGCTATCATTCCACGACTAGCAATACCAGTCAGCAAAATGAACAGCTGAAAATACAATGAAGATTTATAGATGATATTGATAGAAACATGTGGAAAAACATTGCTGATATACAGGGTGTTTCAAAAAAACATGACACCCTTGCGAGTATAGGTAGAACATTGCAAAATAAGTTGGGTTTGCTCAGTGAAAAAATGTCGTAACGGCATCCGTTATCAAGATACAAGGTGTTGGAAAAATATTTTTTTCACTCATTTTTTTCGATTATGTCGAAATGTCTCATGCTTCCATATTTCAACTTGCAGTCAATACGAAGAGCTCACAACAAAATGGTAGACGCTAGAATCTTCATCAACTCAGGAGAGGTTGATGGTGCAAATATCAATAGGAGTCCAGCTTCCTACTTATTCAATCCAGAAGAAGAACGACAAAGGTGAGTAATTCGAATGATTATTTGGGAGAGTATATAGAAATCGATAGAGAAATCTCAGATCTCATTCTCATTTTCAAAAATACGACATTTTCATTATCACATTACGGTTCTGCTGAATTCCCTTTTCATGTTTATTCGTAGAATGTTATATTTCCCAATGATTTTCTCATCTTTGCTACATTAAATCAATTGAATAGGTACCTATTCCCTTTTCGAATATTTCTTCAACAAATCGATATCACGATCAACTCTGATGAAACAACACCTACTGGAAGAGGAATAATTATGAATTATCAAGTTTTAATTTTGTTGTCTTTGCTTTATTTGATCCACTGAATATTTACTTGTTGAAAAATGCATATTATGTCCTACATATTTTTCGTACTTGTTACATGATATGTAAAATCTTCACAAGCGATAAGATTCTCACAAAACTCTCAAGCACACAACGTGATCTGCTAACACAGTAGCTTCATCAGGTGATATACTAATACAATGGACTAAACTAACCTTGGCTCGTCTAACTTTCAAATATCCTACTTTCCCAATCTGAAGGATTAGTTACCTGTGGACAGGTACGATAAACCTCCATTTTCGGAAATTAGGCACAATATTGTTTGCTGGGTGATATCTGAATATCGTATGTCCATCTCTCTACATACAATGAATGTTTAATCTATGTCTATGATGGATGATTGAACGTTAGATGAACGTCCATTGAACATACAATGTCAAACATCCAACGATCACCTATGTTTGTACGTTTGTCCATTCAATGTCAATCGACGTGTGGAATGAAAATGACCTGAAATGGACGTTCATGGATGTCAGGTGTTGTGTGGAATCGAATCACCGTGGATATGTTTGTGAGTAATCTATTTTTCAGATATGCACACAACACCGACAAAGAATTAGTCCAAATGAAATTCGTGAGCACTGTTGATAATCGTACGATCGGAGCTATCAACTGGTATGCAGTGCATCCCACGTCTATGAATAATACTAACTGCTTAGTGTCGACAGATAATGTTGGGTATGCCTCAATCCTGTTGGAAACATCGAGGGATCCAGACTCATTACCAGGACAAGTGAGTAATTACTGATTATATTATAATGACACGTTTCATTCTTCCATAATTGCAATGAATTAAATCTATTTTCATAGTGCTTTTCAGATCAAGGTTTTTGATATTCACCCTAGATGTGGACCATGTACAGTGTGTTCAGTTTTCGATGCTTTTGTGCGATATCTCCGTTGTCTTTGGAGATAGAGTTGCGGTTTTCACATTACTGTCTTACTTTTTTCTGAACCATAACATATGTAAACATAAATTATTTGTGCCTATGAAGTTATATATCCATATATTATAATTACTGATATAGGTATCCGGAAAGGAGGCAGCCTTCTTCTGATACTTTTTCCTGGATGAAGACAAATTTATCAGAGTATGGAGCTTTCAAACAGCCTCGACCAAAACTCTATCACAAATGAAATCGTGAAACGGACGAAATCAACGTTTTAGCTATCGTAGAAGCAGCGCCTTCAAGTTCATGTCGAGTTATTGAACGAGAAGTCGGTGTGGTCAAGAGGCGGGTACAAAAAATTTTGGAAAAAATAAATTCACACCATATAAATCACAAATCGTACAGCATTTGCATCTTGAGGAAGCGGGACGTCGATTAATTTTTTGTAATTGGTATATGGAACGGATTCGAATGAATTTTGACTTTTCCCAATCAGTAGTATGGTCTGATGAATCATATTTTTCGAGTGCCGGCATCTTCAATCGCCAAAACACCAGACATTGTACTCAAGAAAATCACCATGTTATATTTGAACGGGAACAGCAAGGACGGTTTGGCTTCAGCGTGGCTTGTTTCATTTTGGGTAGAAATATTGTATATCGGATTTATGAAGGAGGTCTCACTGCAAACCGTTACCTAGAAAATCTACGAGATGTTTTGCCAGAGCTGCTGGACAATATCCCTCTGGCTCAGTTGAATAATATATATTTTCAACAAGACCGCCTGCCCACAATTCTCGAATAATACGACAATTTCTAGAAATTAATTTTTTTTGTCCAGAAAATAGCTCGCCCCAGTTGATTTTCACAATGCTAGATTTTTTTTGTTCCAATGGAAGTTCAAATGCTACATATTCCGGTTCTGCTGAATATGTTTGATTCCTACCAATTATCAGAACGATTTACTTCTAATACGCCATACACCCTGAATCACCCTGTATTATTCGATATGCTGTAGTATTAGCCAGGAAAGTAATAACTATTGAAAATGCATATTGTCAGGTGAATTATGAACATGTTGAAATGGACATTGGAGCAACTTCTATCACCCCTGCATATTCATGAGAGTATTCGTATATGTGTCTTTGAACAGTAAACCGATAGGTAAAACTGTGAACAATTCTCATCTTGAAGTAAAAATTCTCACAGAAACAAAAGTTGAAAAACGACACGTCCTCCCCAGTTCGAGTTTCGAGGTGGTAAAATTAATTCCAATATCCACCTCTTCTTTGAAACTCTATATTTTCTTAGATAATTGGGGTATCAAGATGAACAAAAAATGAAAATATTCGGGATAGATTGTGCAATAATTTGGTGTTGGAAAATCGTTTCAATTATCAGTGGTTCACTCCACAGGATGTCTTAAAGAATACCGAAAAATCCGAACTTTCTTTACACCCCTGTATATGATATAAAGACGAATCGTTCGGAGGTGGTTATTTCTCAGATGTATTCGTGAAGAATGAAGCTACAATTCCTGAAAAACAAATTTGAATCGAGTGATCGATTCGAGAGAAAATTGATGTCAAACTTAGTGTAAATTTTACCCGTTCCCGTAATTGTGCCAGTGTGTAGTACAAATCTTTAACAAAACAGTACTGTCTCGCTCCTGCTGACAATTGGGGCAACTCTGTTCAACCTAGATCTCTCATTTATGAGATCTAATTCAATAAGTGTTTCTGTGAACAATGAAAATTGTATCCAATTCTATCATTTGCAGGGTCAATTCGTTGGAGCGTTTGCCTCGACCAATTTGGGGGACGTTTCCCCGAATACCGACGGACCGAGATGTCAAAACACTGGAGAGAGGTGTGACAATCCTAGTAGCACCTGCAACGGCGAAGCAAAGTACTGTGTAGCCGCAGGACCAGGACACAATATCTTCGAGAGTACGGATATCATAGCTAGAATGCTATACGACAAAGCCACGGTGAGTCATCACGAAAGGTGTATATTTGCATCATCATTTAACAACAATTATCGAGTAACATTTATCATTCAACAGAACCTTATGCTGGAACAACGTTGTAAACGCCAAAAATGTTTTATTTTGGGAAATCTAAAAAAACTATATACAGGGTGTTTCACAAGTGAAGGGAAATATTTCAATGGTAGATAGGGGTCACCAAGGTGGTTCTGAAAATACCATATTTGATAGGTCTTAGAGTTTTCATAACGGAGATACAGGGCGATTTATCGATTTCGAATAATTATTCATTCGTCTATAAGTATTGAACTACCCAGTATATTTTCCTAAAATTTGATATTGAGCTCAAACTTGGGACGTTGAATTCATTCACCTATCGAGCGAAGGGGAAATCCAGGTTCGGCTTCAGGAAAAATTCACATTTATTCAAAATATTAAAATAACACACTGTATATAATAATTGACAGAGTTCATCAAAGGAATCGTGACGAGGAGGAAAAACTGAACTGGATTTAATGCTTCTTGTTTTCCCGCCACCAATTCTCATCGTAACAATCATAAACAGAAAGCTGAAAGTATGTCAATTTGAAGAGTATTGAAATTATGAAATCAGTGTCAATTATGATTATTCGATATATTTTTGTCAAAAAATCGCTCGAAAGAACTTATCGAGTCTCACAGTTTTCATAACGGAGATACAGGGTGAATTGTTGGTTTTGAATAATTATTCACTCGTCCATGAGTATAAAACTACCCAGTAACATTTTCTCAAATATGGTTTTTAGCTTACTTGGGAGTCTTGAGACGATGGATTCATTAACCTATCAGGCAGAATTATAATTCGATAATTCACCCTGTATCTCTGTTATACAGACTTTGAGACTTTTCCTGAAGCTGAACCTGTATTTCCATTCTGCCTGATAGGTCAATGACCAAGTAAGCTCGATAGCAAATTTGGGAAAATATTACTGCGATGGGTAGTTTAATACTTATGGACGAATGATAATTCACCCTGTATCTCTGTTATGTAGACTGTGAGACACCAGTAAGTTCTTTCGAACAATCATTCAACGAGAATATATCAAATTATCGTAATTGAAAGTAGTTTCATAATTTCAATACTCTTGAAATTGACATACTTTTAGCTTCCTGTTTATGATTGTAACGATGAGAATTGGTGGCGGGAAAACAAAAAGCATTAGATCCAGTTCAGTTTTTCCTCCTCTTCACGATTCCTTTGATGAACTTTGTCAATTATTACATACAGTGTGTTATTTTAATATTTCGAATAAATGTAAATTTTTCCAGAAGCCGAACCTGGATTTCCACTTCGCCCGATAGGTGAATGCATTCAACGTCCCAAGTTTGAACTCCATACCAAATTCTAGAGAAATATACTGGGTAGTTCAATACTTATAGACGAATGAATAATTATTCGAAATCGATAAATCGCCCTGTATCTCCGTTATGAAAACTCTAAGACCTATCAAATATGGTATCTTCAGAACCACCTTGGTGACCCCTATCTACCATTGAAATATTTCCCTTTCTTTACCTGTGAAACACCCTGTATATTCGATTGTTTCATCAAATGAAGTAAATATGTGCCTGATATGACAAGCAAGGAAGAACTTGACTGCATGATACGCAAAATAGACTTGACCACATGCAGAATTATGATTTACGAGCATATCTTTCTTTTTTTAATCAAACAACGTTATATATCCACGTCGGTTACAACGTTATTCCAGGGAACTAACCCAGTAAACATGAGACATTTATGAAATATTTCAAGATTACCTAAAATGTTAATGATTGAAACATTTTTCAGGAACATTCCAGAGATATTTCAAAATCACTGTAACATTCCTGAAATATTTCAAAACAACTATAATTGATATATTCCGAAACATTTCGAAATTACTTGTGAAGTGAATGAATGAAACATTCCAAGATAACTTTGATTGTGAATAATTGAAACATATCATTTACTACCTATTCAGGAATGTTTCAATGCGTTCGAAATATGTTTGAAACGTTTCAAGGTACCTCAAACTATTGATATTTCGAAACATTTCAAATATACTCTCATTGCAAATTACTTCAATGTTTCAAGACAACTCGAATGGCTTGATTGAGGAATATTTCAAAATCACCTGAATTTTAAATGATTGGAACATTTCAATATGTCTCTCATTCTGAATGATGGAAACATTTTTCAGGAACATTCCAGGGATATTGCAAAATCACTGTAATATTCCTGAAATATTTCAAAACAACTGTAATTGATATATTCCAAAACATTTCGAAATTACTTGAGAAGTGAATGAATGAAACATTTGAAAATAACATTGATAGTGAATAATTGAAACATATCATTCACTACTTATTCAGGAATGTTTCAATGCGTTCGAAATATGTATGAAACGTTTCAAGGTACCTCAAACTATTGAGATTTTGAAACATTTCAAATATACTCTCATTGCGAATTACTTCAATGTTTCAAGACAACTTGAATTGCTTGATTGAAGAACATTTCAAAATCACCTGAATTTTAAATGATTGGAACATTTCGATATGACTCTCATCCTGAATGATGGAAACATTTTTCAGGAACATTCCAGGAATATTTCAAAATCTTTGTACCATTTCTGAAACATTTCAAGACAACTTCAACTGATATATTTCGAAACATTTCGAAATTTCTCAGATAATTAATAAATGAAACGTTTCAAAATTTCTTCAATTGTGAATAATTGAAACATATCATTTTCTACTTATTCAGGAATGTTCCAATGCGTTCGGAATATGTTTGGAACATTTCAAGGTTCATCAAACTATAGAAATTTTGAAATATACTCTTATTGCGAATTACTGCAATATCAAAAGACAACTGAAATTGGTTGATTATGGAACATTTCAAAATCACCTGAATTTCAAATGGTTGGAACATTTCGATATTACTCTCATTCTGAATAATGGAAACATTCATCAGGAACATTCCAGGGATATTTCAATATCATTGCAACATTTCTGAAACATTTCAAGACAACTTTAATCGATATATTCCGAAACATTCCAAAATTACTTGAATGATTGATTAATGAAACGTTTCAAAATCACTTCAATTGAAACATATCATTCAATACTCTGATTCAGGAATGTTCCAATGCGTTAGGAATATGTTTGAAAAATTCCAAGGCTCTTCAAATTATTGACATTTTGACACATTTATTAGGAATTACTTACCTACTACAATATTTCAAGACATGCAACTTGAATTGGTTAATTTAAGAATATTTCAAAATAACCCGAATTTTAATAAATTAATTAGACTATTTTGACCAAGCATTTTATCATATTATGATGCAATTCAGCATTTCCCCTCTACAGCCGCCGCTTTCGTGGCTTCGGTAATCGATCGCGGGTTCCCGTCTTCGGCTCTAAGCGTTCGCGCACGCGCATTCAGTTTCCTTCTCCTTGGTGAGAGGCTTCGCAGTTTTCGCTTTCCGACTGTTGTCTCAAGCCAAGCAAAGCAAAAGACATCTAATATCTTATAATAGTGATGAAATATAATTATTTCACTCAAGTCAAACACATTTTTGAGTGTTTACTATTTAATCGTACCGGAAGACCTCTTAGGTGATTTAGGCCATGTGAAGTAACATCAAAACTTGCAACCAAACAAACAACACAAACGACTCCATTTTTTTTTATCATCACCTGGTGCGGCTGGACTTTGAAATGTATTCAACGGCTCCATGGACAAGGCCGAGGTACGTATAAATATGGAAAAACCATAATTCCAGATGAAATATCAAATATTATTAGATATCATGATGGGTATATTCATAATGATACTTTTTGTTCTAGGATGGAGTGTGAAAATTTCATCATGACTTAGAAGCTGCAGAAGAATAGTGCTTTCAATTGCGATGTAACCGAAGAAAAATATTGAAGCACTCAACATGTGAATAACGATGTTAAATTACTTGATATATATGTACATACCTAATACGTCGTGATTATGTGAAATATCTGATGATACTTTTTCAACTGCTTTTTTCACATATCATTATATAAGCAATATAATCCATTTTTTTATGTCTATTATCTTTCATTTCACCAGCTATATGAATATATTCCAGCGATATTGGTAGGTATTTTTCATTCTGAAACATTCAATGGGAATGTTTCATAAACAGTAATATTGTTGAATGAAAAACATTCATGAAATGTTTCATGAAACATTCCCGAAAGTTCTACAATGAATGTTCCCAGGATGTTTCTATATATATGTATTTGAAACATTATTTATGAAACATCTCTGGTGGCGAAAATTTATCGTTTCAAAAATATTCATGGAATGTACCAAGAAACATTCCTTAAGATCTAATCATATTGGGAATGTTTCCAGAATGTTTCAAGCATTTGTATTCGAAACATCATTCATGAAACAGTTTTGAGGGCAAATATCTTTGGTTTCACGAATATTTCTGAAACATTTCATGTAATATAACGAAAGAAATATTTATGAAATATTGCATGGAACATTCCTACAGGATATGATCATGGTAGAAATGTTTCCAAAATGTTTCAATTTGCGTATCCGACACATTATTTAGGAACATTACCATGAAACATTCCTGAGGGCGGACATCTCTAGTTTCTGGAATGTTTCTGGAACATGTAGGCAACTTTGAATGCAATGTTTCATGCATCAATAGTACGTTTCTGAAACATTTCAGAAACAGAAAAATGTTTACTGGGAAGGCGGTTACAACGTTGTTTCTAGATCAAAAATGAAGCACAAGTGAAAAAAGGCAAAGAATTTTTATTATTATTTAGTTGTGTCATAACTGAGTCTTTCAAAGAAACGTCCATTTCTGCTTATAACGACGATAAACTACAGACCAAACACATGTAAACAAAGAAAGAGCGCGGGAAACTAGAAGCCAAACTTGACTAACCCAAATGACACCAGAAATCACCATAAAAATTTC